ACGATAAAGTTGATAACGTAAACCAAATAAATTTCACGGCGACTGATTACGCCGCAATTTATTTACGTGATGAAAGTTCTTTATTTTCCATATGATTAAAATATTGTTTAAAAAAGATTGTTCGTTATGACGACGTGATTTTCGGTTAACTGTTAGTGAGGTGAATTAACTGTATAATTATTAAGAAATCAGTTTTTCTAATCAATAATAAATCCACAATCGAACTAGTAAATGCTTATTCGTTTGGTTAAGGATTTAATTATTTGATTTCGTTTAAAAATATGCCATACATTTTGCATGAGGCATACGAAATGAGCCAATAAAAGATCAGCATTTGTATGAATTTAACACCTACTGTAAATATAGAGAATTGGAATGAACAATTTGTAATATCAAAAGACTATGATCATGATAATACGTCACGGATGGGTGAAAAGTAGCACGTTGCTACTTTTGTTCATGATTTTGACATATTATTGTACATGTGTTACTGAAAATTTAAGTTTATGATAAAAGTTGTTTCTTACACGTCGTTTTGCGTAATAAAATCTTATCAAAATTTTTTAGTATTCTTTTCCCATATACATGATGTAGCTGAAGGGGATACTATATCCAAAAAAAAAACAAAAAAACAAAAAAACAATTGAACTTGTACATTGTAAGTTAGTCTACAAAAGACAAGTTGCAATTCCGTGTATCTTATTTGATATCTTTATCACATGAACGTCATAGATAGGATATAACGTCATCTTAACGATCCAGAGTAAATTGCAAACTCTTTCCCAGGTAATGTGGAATGTTTAGCACCCATCGTAGCATTCTGTATGTGCGTCCCAAGCCAGGAACCTATGATGCAGTGGTTTTCTTAAATTGTTTTTTTTAGATAAATTAGTCCCTTAGTTTTCTAATTTGAATTGTTTTAAATTTGTCATCTCGGGGCTTTATAGCTTGTTATGCGGTATTGGTTTGAAGATATAAAGGCATTACGTTAACATATAGTTGCTAACTTCTACGTCATTTGATTTCTGGTGGAAAGTTGTCTCATCGGTAACCATACCACATCTCCTTATTTTTATCTAGATGCTATTTCACTAATTATATTCTTCAAAAACAAAACTTAATTATAATGAAAAGTAGTTTTGAGGTAACCGATGTCCTTATAATCTGTTTTATTGTGTTTATTAATATATTTCATTTAAAGAATTCAAAACGGTGACTTATTAACGGCAACTCCTTAGTAACTACATTAATAATATTTAGAGTTTCAGTTTTACACAGGAAATTCTACAAACACAAAATTACGACAAAAGGGACGATTTATCGTTCCCTATTATTAATTTTCCTGTTTTGAACGATGATGTTCCTTTGGCACCATCTATTGGTGTTTGTATATCCCAACTCGTTCGCTATGACCGTATCACTAGAAGTCACGTTTTTTTTTATTTCAATGAACGTAATCTATGTATAACTGGTAAATTATTAAGTCAAGGATTTCGTTACCACAAATTACTTTGAAAACCTTTACTAAATAATTTTTTCATAGATACAAAGATTTGGTATGGAAGTTTGGCTGTACCTGTAGAAAACTTATTACAAACAGGATAGCGCATCCTAATTTTTACGGTGATGTTGTTTACTGTGCCCGTAAATTTAGATACGATCCGGGTAAACTTATCGATCCTTTAAATAAACTTATTCAAAAAGGTTACCAATTCAACACTGTAATTATATCATTGAATATTGTTTTTATCGGTATAGATATTGATTTTTAAAATGTAATCCAACTAAGTACTATCATTACACACATATGTACATTCACGGTACTACAATCTGTCGATTCCTATTTTTGGCGTAGTACAAGGTCATGTTTTCCTCTGACTGTTAATGACGTCTTTACATTAAATCCATTGGGTGTGGAATGTGTACTGATTGATATGTTAGTCTTAGATACATGATTCTTTTATTAGTTGTTATTGGCTTTGAACTAGCTTTCAGTAAATGCGAGTACTATCAGATCTGTTATCTGTGTTATTTTTGTTTTAATTAGTTTTTTATGCTTTGTATATCTCTGATGAGTTAAGCTCTTTTCCACTGATTTTTTTAGTTTCTTCTTTAAGTTAAGTTGTACTGTTAGGGGAAGGGTTTGGTGCCAGCAAACATGTTTAACCCATCACATTCTGTATGTGCCTGTCCCAGGTCAAGAACCTGTAATTCAGTGGTTGTCATTTGTTGCTGTATATTATATTTGTTTTTCGTTTATTGTTTTGTACATAAATTAGGTCGTTAGTTTTCTCGATTGAATTGTTTTACTTTTGTCATTTCGGGGCCTTTTATAGCCGTTTTAGTGGTATGGGCTTTGCTCATTGTTGAGAGCTGTACGGTGACATATAGTTGTTAATTTTACGTCATTTGGACTCTGGAGGAGAGGTATCTCATTGGCAATCATACCACATCTCCATAGTTTTATACTTCGTAACACTACAAATTGCTTAGAGTCTGAAAATACCATATTTTGAGCTAAACCAGTAAGGTTGAGCACAGACTTGACATAATCTCGACAGTACTTAATTGTACTTAACTGTACTTGACTTTGGTGTGGACTTTACTTTATAAGTCTGATTGAGTACTTGATAATCTTGGTAAAGTCTGAATGTGGTCTCGACAAATGCTCGACCAGTCTCGACCAATACTACACCAGTCCCGACCAGTCTGGACCGATCATGACCTTTAGATTAAGTCTCGACTGGTCTTGACTTGGTCTGAATCAACCTATCTATGCCAAATAGATATTGATCTTACAAAATGCAAGTTATTTTGTAGTTTGGTTTATTGCTGTTAAATTTTAAGGATTTGATTAATAGGTAAAAAAAGCTAGAATTTTCAGTTCGGACTAAATTCAAATAGTCACCTTTAAAAAATTTGTCAAATCAACTTGGATTTTCATAAAACTCTACAGCTATCTCAATTATATATCAATCTTACTGAAGATGCCAAGTTATTTGGTAATTTGAGATAGTTGTAGATTTTAATCAAATTCAAAGTTGAAAATTTTTAAAGGTGACTGACTATCTGTATTTAGTCCGAACTGAACATTCTAGCTTTTTTAACCTATTAGACAAATTATTGAATTTGACAGCGATGAATCAAACTACCAAATAACCGGGCATTTTGTAAGATCAACATATGATTGAGATAGCTGTATAGTTTTATGAAAATACAAGATGATTGGAAAAAGTTATAGAAATTTTTAAAAGTGACTTTTTGAATTTATTCCAAACTGAAATTCTAGCTTTTTTTTTTACCTATTAATGAAATCATTGAATTTTACGGCAATAAATAAATCTACCAAATAACCTGGAATTTTGTAAGATCAATATATAATTGACATAGATGCGCTGATTCAGACCTAGTCAAGACCAGTCGAGACTGAATGAAATGGTCAAGACTGGTTGAGACTAAGTCGAGACTGGTCAAGACTGAGTTGAGACTGGACGAGACTGGTCGATACTCGTCGATCATTTGTCGAGACCATATTCAGACTTTACCCAGATTATCAAGTACTAAATCAGACTTATTATGTAAAGTCTAGACCAAAGTCAAGTACAGTTAAGTATATTTAAGTACTGCAAGATTATGTCGAGTCTTGTCAAGTAAAATCTGTGCTCGACCTTATTTGTTCAGCACAAAATATGGTCTTTTCGGACTCTGAGCAGTTTGTAGTGTAAGAGGTTTGTGCCAAAATCAAATTCACTTACAAGTCAACAGCAGAATGATACAACTTCGGTTTAAAAAAAAGGACTATCATCACGCATGAACACACTTATTAAAACAAAAAAAACACTAGTTAATATCTCCTTAAAGCTGTCACCCTAAACATTGCTCTTGAAGCACCCACTACGGTCAAGCTATTCATATCAAAGGAATTCATTCCTCACAAGCTAAACAAAACCATCGATTTGGCCCACTGCGAAAACATCTGATCGCAGGAGGATGCAGTATTAACATTAATCATACAGTCTTCATAAGTCCGTGACAATAAGCATTCAATTGACGATGACCTTATCCTCAACATGAGGGTTCCATTTTCTCACGCGCTTGCAATTGCAGTTTGCAAACTAAAATACAACATCAAGAACATTCGTTAGAATTCATCTTAAGCTCGAGACCATCATCAGTCTACAGCGAATAATTGAGATAGCTGTACAGTTTTATGAAAATACAAGCTTTTAAGAAAATCAGCTGTGAATGATGCAGTGCGACAAAAACGAAAACGAAAATGTATTTTTCCCTCAAACATTAGACCATTTATGACAATTAAACATTGTTAAATAGTGAATTGTATTTATGTTTTAGCATATGGATATCAAAACACTTGGGGAAATGAGATTTTATTCAAGAAAAGCTAAGCATGCATCGATTGTTCGCCCAGAAAAGCACCATTGCCCTCTCTCTCAATACGCAAGATCAAAAGGACATCACACGGAAGGTGTAATCTTCTAAATCCAAGAATACTACAACATGTAGACAGGGTGAAAATTTCAGATATATCAACTGAAAAGGTTAAAGCCTCAATGAAAATAACGTACGGAACATCAAATATAAAATAAAATAATCCTCCCAGTATACCATTTTTGTTCAGTGACAATAACAGTTTTCTGCGAATGACCTCTTAAATTCCTTGTTGTTTGTCGGCCTGTTTTCGTCATTGAAGATATACTGTTTGCTAGATGCTAAGTAACCAATTCATTTCTCAATCAAACTTGAAAAAAATATTTTCACGCAGCACTAAATAATGTGTTACAGCTGCATTATAATTATGAGTACACGATTTTTTTAGTCACAACGCGCTTGATAAATGTATTTGTTTTTTTTTTATCAAATTGTTCTTAATTACGAAATCATTTTACTGTCTCTTGATTGAATGTCATTCACGGAATTATGGAATTTAATTATTTGCTGAACTTTTTGATATATTTTTTTATAACGAAATATATGTGCAATAACATCAACATTATTTTATAAGCAATACTAAAGCGAACGCACAAAGACTGACAAAATGAGCTGATTTTCTCTCAATACATTTATACATTTGAGACAAAAACATTTTTGATCGTTGAATAATACAATGTCATAGACTGAATTTCAGGTCATAAAAATTTTTGTTGAACAGTAATTTAATTCTGTTTCGCAACATTAGACTTCCTAGCATTTCATCATCAAATATCTCTGGAATATCTCTTCGTAATGACTTCGCAAAGGACACAGACATTTTTTTCTTCGTAGCAGCTGAATGTTAAAGTGTCTTCTAATTTCAGTTTTTTGCACGAATGAAAATAAAGTCCTAATCCACATTCAGCAAAAGCTGCATATGTTTGGAACCATTTGTCTACCTTTTGTTTGCATATAGTTGAGTTTGTTTGCAGATCTTGTTTTGTACCATATCCCATGATCAATGATTCAACAATACCTGGATTATTCGAATTTTGTTTAATTAAGGATTCAAAATTGATTACTTCCTGACGCATTCCATATTGAAGTCCAGCCCGGATACACAAATCTCTAAGGATAAGTGAAACTGGAGCCCATATATCCATTTGTAAATGTTCAAATACAAAATCCTGAGACAGAACATCAAAAAAGTTGTCTGCGATATCTATAACCAATTCTGCAAAACACTCGAACCTCTCAATATCAACTGTTGATATGCTTGCATTTTCATTTTCCTCTTCTGGAATTTGAACGGCTTTGGGAAACAATGTATTGAAAGCAAGTTGCATGATGAGCCCTAGATTAAAGAACGACTTAATTTTAGGTCTACCGATCAACAAATCCTGCAGAAAGGTCTCGTTTGAATAAATCGTACTTATATCAATAAAATTATCTGTCCTATTTGAATTAGTTAAAGTTGCTGACAATGCATCCACAACAAATTGAATTATACTCAACATGTACAATCGATTTGACGGATTTCCTGATTCATTAAAATTGTTAACTTCAGACAAAACTGCTTTGATTTTTGGAACCTTTGGTAGAGGATGATTTGTGACATCCGAATAACATGACTGTAGAGATCTATTTAAAATAGCGAGAAGATTGTCGTCGATTAAGATTGAATAAAAGGAATCCATACACTGTTCAATGGCCTCTCCGGATAATGTTTCAATGATATTTCTTTCCGGAATGAAGTAATCAGGTAGAACTCTTTTGCGTAAGAAGTATAGCAGTTTTTCAACTATTTCATGACAATCTACGAAAATGTTATTCCATGCAAGTTTTTCCTCGCATAGCCATAAAAAAGATGTTTTTAATTCATAGGAAGACACTAATTTAATATTCTTAAAAGTAGGTCTGCGTTTTAAAGAAAATTCTAATGTTTCTTTAATCAGCAGTTTACTCAGAATAAATGCTTGTCTTTGGTTAAAACTCAAAGAATGTGCAAGTATATATGAAGCACCCGTAAACGATATACGCCATTCCTTTCGTTTATCGCATTTAGAACTACATTTGTGACCAACAGGCACAACATGGCAATCTGACATAAGACACTTGCTGATTAAATCTGGTGATGGCCATCCACTTTTTCTTTTTCTAAACTTCCATTCTCTTGCATGAGAAGGCCAATTAACACATTTAAATGCTGGCACAAAATCATGATCGTAAAAAGTCCTATCACCTATACTTTCTAATTTAGTCTAAGCTGGTCCTATAATATACAAATAAATCATTTCATCCCTTGTGTAGTTCTAATTTATTGAAAGAAGAGAAAGAAAAAGACGTTAAATGTAAGCAGGATTTTAGATACAAATTAGAAGGATAAGAGTCAACAAAAAAAATGTATGTTTATAAATGAAAAAATAGGGTTGGTGAATTACCAGCTAGTTTTGTTACCACTAGCAAAAAAGAATAATTGAAAGGGTAAAACATATACATTGTAAAAAATTACCTAAAAAAGAGAGGCGAAAGATACCAAAGGGACATTCAAACTCATAAGTCGAAAATAAACTGACAACGCCATCGCTAAAAAAGAAAAAGACAAACAGAAAAACAATAGTACACCAAACACAACATAGAAAACTAAAGACTGAGCAACACGAACCCCACCAAAAACTGGGGGGTGATCTCAGTTGCTCCGGAAGGGTAAGCAGATCCTGCTCTACATGTGGCACCCGTCGTGTTGCTCATGTTAGTACAAACCCGGTAATAAATCTAACAACCTTATAATCATTACCAGCAGTTCAATGTTCGCTTGGCTTACAAATAAGTGAAATAATCTCCAATATAAGGCATCGGAGGTAATGGTCTGAGTCCAATTGTCGCTGGCTATGAGGTTGAACAGGATTAAAATTGTGTACGCCAGACGCGTGTTTTGTCTACAAAAGACTCTTCAGTGACACTCGAATCAAAAAGGTTGAAAATGCCAAATAAAGTACGAAGTTAAAGAGCAATGAGGACCCATTAAGTTCGTAATTTGGTATCACCTATAGTGAAGGATTATTCATTTTATTCTCCTTAATGAATTGTTCACAAAACACAAATCTGTTCTGTTTTATCGTGACCAAATATTTCCTCTTGTGCATACGTTGTTGGATATGCAGATTTGGGAATTACGTAACTAAGTTCCTTTATTGGCTATAGATATGTAACAATTTTTACATTAACCCATTTGACAGCCTTTTTTATAATTGGGTTTTATGACATGTATCATACGTGTCATCATTATATTACACTCGGGACAACAAACTAATTGTATTGTTTCCTGTTGCATTATTACTTTTTTTCTCCGAGACGAGGATGTTTGTGTTTTGTAATTAAATTCATAAAAAAATTAATGTCGTTTTTTTCCTTAAATATAAAGATATGTTCGAGAACAGCTATCGGATTGATGCAATAAACTATGCAAACAAGAGAAGGTTTCCATTTCTTATCATCATACCAACAGTTCGGATTTGATATTAAGTATCCTTCACAACCACTCATACGTCTGCTTATAATCCCACACAATTCGTTTTTATTTCTCTTAAAAGAGGGAAATGAAACAAATCAATTTGGTTGTATATATCTATGTGACTAGGCCCTGACATGCATTCGGGATTATAAATGTAATTCCAAGTGATTGTGACTTGGTTTGTAGGTAGAAAAGTAATATGCCTAAATAATAAAAATGAAGAAAGAATATGGTTTTGAATAAAGTTAATAATTTGTCAAATTTATAAAGGCAAAACAAATTATATTTACAGTTGTTGATTAAGTAGAAAACTAGACCAATGCGTACAGTGATCATTGTGTTTGTTACTGTACCATAATTGTATACTTGTATTTAGATATCACAACCAGTGATCGCTTGTATATTTTGAGTAGCAATAAAATAATAAACGAGCCTCAGGTGAGGTTAATAACATACGATTCTCAGGAGTTTGGAAATTCGATTACTATAATAACCAAAGATAAAGATTACAACATCTAAAACTTTGATAGAAATTAAAATAAAATCCTAACAGTAATGGAAATTTGAGCTAAAATTTTCATAAATGCATCAGGTAATTGACCGAGAGTCTAACTATTTTTCTTATCATCGCTATATCATTTATTAAAATATAATGATTTCATCTCCCTATTGAAGATCCATATTCTTAATTGGCCACTTTTTTCAAACAGATCATCGCCATGCCAGTAGGAGGACGATGTGGGGTGTGAACATTTTGTGTGCAGACAAACAAAGATTCCTATTATTGTATCATAAAGAAACAGTAATTTTTGCGTCAATGTCTATTGGCTTCATTCAGGAGAATAATATATATCATCGGCAAGTTGAACAGAAGACAAACGTTACAAGTTTTGAAATCTCTAAAAATTACCTGAAGACTTATTCCCTCTGGCGGGAAATTTATTACCACGTCCATTGAGGAATGTATGCATTTGAATTTTGTCTATTATTGTTTTCCAATATTTTTTAAAACCTTTACTTGATATCGTCTGCTTTCCTTTTAATAGTTTGACATATCCTGAGTGAGAACTTTCTTTCATTATGTATTGACGTTGGGAGGAATGATGTACCTCTGCTACCGTTTGGTATTTATTTACAAGCAAGCCATCTATGTCAGTCATTGATCTTAGTCCCATCTCTAATGGAGTAATCGGGGGATACTTCCAGCGAAAAGCTAAAAGGCTTGACTTCCTTAAATTGAAATATAAATCTATTTATTAATAATAATATAATTATCTATTAATAATTAATTAAATTATATTTTTATAAATTATACTATTTATTGCCTACGTGAGTAAATTGGTGGCATCGCAAAAAACGATCAGTCCCTATAATTCTGACTGAAGTTGTTTCAGAACAAACAAACGAGCATATACGGAGAATTAAACTTATTGATATGTTATTATATAAAGCTATATTTAAATTGGTACATTGAAGATCTCAACAAAGAGTGCATCTGTGAATATCTCATTTTATCTCTCTAAAGTGTATGTAACCTAAGACGATTTTGGCTCTCTGTTGAGATGACTTCGGCATTACTACGTACTACAACTTTTGGTGTAAGTTTGGTATTTCATAGTTAGAAATTTAAGCCTTACTGACGAAGTTAAACCAGAAACTGTTGCTTGACGCTTCACAAACTGACATCTAAAATGTTCATTTTAAAATCATATTACTTTGTCAGTGTTGACGAACATATCTATTGAAGAGACAAATACTTAATAATTCATATTAAGTCTTTATAATTGTGTTTGAACTTACCTGTCAAGAGTATTTCTATAGCAGTGCCAGATTCTTTCTGGGGGTCATCTCTGAATTTCATGTAAGTTTTCTGCAGTTTTTGGGGTATAGTTTCATTATTAAAAACTTTGCGAGATGTTTCAACATAGTTCATCAAAAATACATAATTGCTCTTTTTCCACCTTCATACCAATCGACCTCGCACACACATCTACTCGCACGTGTATCAGTGTCCACTGTTGATGTAGATGGGATCACATTAGGGCAACTGTCAGTTTTAACAGGCTTAAAGAAATATAGAATTGATAAAAAATGAATAAACGACTTGTACTTGCTTTATCTTTTTTTAAAATAACCGTCTTAAACATTTAAGAATCAGAGATTTGATATCATTGACCTGTCCAGGAATAAGATTGTCTTGGTCACATACAATTTTCATTTGATATACGATATTTTGCAAGTACAAATTAGGAATCTATAATAGGAATAAAAGTTAAACTGATAGCACATCTTTTGGCCTAAGTTTGTGTCATTCAAACGTATTTCTTTTTTTTTTAGTTTTCATTTTGTCTTTAATACGAATATTATTTGAATGTCCCCTTAATTGTAGTATTGTTAATGTTTTCCCTGACTATGTGAATTTTTATGGCTTTGTTGTTTACAACGAGATTCTAGTCCATTTATGATTTATACAGTCTTTCATTTAGTGGTTAGGTGATGCATAGTGAAAAAACCTGCAACGATATGGTTAATTTTGAATGTTTTAGAGTCATTAACTACAAATTATAATGATCAGTTTTCAGGGTCATGGCAATAATATGACATTCCTTTGACTCTAACCTCCTTGGTATTTGGTTACTGAATTTAGATTGAAAACCGCAAAGATAACACACTTAAAAATATGTACACCAGACGCACATTTCGTCTACAACAAACAAATGAATGACGCATGAAACAAAAAAATTAAAAGGCAAAAAAAAAGTACAGATAAAGAGCATTGTTGAGACAAAAAAAAACCGGTATTGTTGTTTCCTATCCTGCAACAATTAGAAATTATTTTCAATAAGACTTAGTGTAAAGAAAGGACGATCAACTAAGGAGCATGTCGACAATATTTAATGTTTATGCTAAGACATATAGTTTCCATATTTTTTTTCTCAAGGAAATGGGAGCATACAGAGGTTGAGTGCTTTTAAAAGAAATATTTATTCTCGTGGCATTATCATGACTTGCCGGTCGGTAAATTTTATTATCATTTATTTTTTCTGAATTGGGCAAACACTTTTGTCCTCGTTTTTGGTATACAAAAATCAAAAATAAACGAAAAAAACACAACATCGTTATCAATAAACATCTTTGTATTGAAAATACAATTTAAACTATTTGTCAGACTCTGTTGAATTGCAAAATAGGTGTACTCAAATAGTTGGAATTTTACTATCTATCTTCTCAAATTAAGCAAAACCAATACCGGATCTAGACCTGCGTCGAACTTTGACGAAAAATTTTCCCTGTGCAATGAGACTTGTAAAATTTCAAACTATCGGCAACAGGAAGTGGATGTACGGCAGATGTACAAATAGCATATAGGCTGCAACTCACGACCTGCTTTCGCAATCAGCGACGCAGGTAAAAATGACTACCGGATTCTGAGTTGTTTGTTTTTATGCAATTTGTATAGAGATCTTTTATTTAAAATTATTTGAGTATAGTCGTTTTTTTTTTCACTCTAGAGTACACTTATGACGGTCACACAATGTTTATCCGCAACATTATTTCGTTGATTAAAAGGGATACAAGGTGCAAAGGTATATCAGGCGAGAAGAAATTTAAGCTGGTTAGGGAGCAGTTTCGGATACAAAATGTAATCGTGAAAACGAAGGAAATTGATATTTCAAAAGCATCGCTTTATAATTATTTTGTGTTACTTGCTTATCGCATATTCCCTGATTTTCAAGTGCACCGTTTATAGAGTACCCTCTGAACGATTTTGCTATACTAAAATAAGGTTAAGACACAACTTTGGAACTATAACAAAAAGATTATAAACCTTATACAAGACAACAGATTGTTCGAAAAAAAGACTTATTACACACTATAAGGTAAAGCTTAAACACGCCATCGGAGAATTAAAAAAAAAAAATACAAAGTTATGGGGATTTTTGGTGAGATATCAAATACAGCGATTCAAATCTGTTATGACCATTTCCCCTGCATTTGTGTGTCGTCGAAACGTTTTATTTACATAACAACAAAAAAAAAAACAATCATTTAGTTTTACTAGTTATCTCTATTGTTGCTTTTTTTAAATTTTGAGATGACCCCTTGTCTTTCGTCAACTGTAATCGTAAGTCTATGTGTAATCATAGGTATAGACGTAGTTTCCGCAAATGTCTACTACGCATGGCTATTATTGAGTATTTGTCAAGCTTACCATTTGTCATAGCCAACATTGCTTTATGAAGTATTAATTGAAAGAAACAGCATAGTTGTCAACATATTGATAATGCCAATTTCACATCTATAAATTACATAAACATTTCTATTAAAATCATATTTTAACTCAGAATTCACTCAAGACACATTAGTATTAAGTAGTTTCTTATAGTGCTTTAGAACATATTTCTGGATATACTGGAAGAAACATTATTTAGAGAAAAGGAAAATTAACTTTATGTGACGAATGTCTTAAAAGCCTATCCAAAATCCGAAATAAAGTTACATCTTTTCCAATGTTACTTGTATGCAAATATATCTTATGTTAAATTAAATGAATACTTTAGCAGATCTTAGCTGTGCTATTTAGTATCATAAGTTTAATAATTGGTATTTTCATATTGATTAACCTTTATTAAGCTATTTTTTCATTTGTATATGAGAAGATGGACATTTGAAGAATGCAGTTGTATCATCTTCATCAATGACATGAATTCCTCTCAGCCTATTAGAGTAAGAAAAACATAATACTCTACAGAAATATAGTTTAGTGCTTTCTGCCAACATGGAGAGGGACAATATGGATAATACACAAGGGACATTTG